GTGCCTTGTATTTTCTTAAACCTTTTTTTCAGGTCGAAAATTGAAATAACTCGGCAGGTGTCGAGAACAGATAATTTGGCAACTTTTCATAGATTCCTCCTTTTTTAAAATATGTTACGAGATAGAATCTTCTAACTTAGTTTTTCTGATAGATCATAGAAAACTGCATAAGAAACTGGTTGCAGACCATTTTTTAGAACAAAGCATTGGTTCACAAAATAATTTCTGAAGACCCATGCTCAAGAACCGGAACTTAATTTTGCAAGTCTATCACAGGTTTTTTTAGAAATGTTAGAGCCAACATTTTTACATGGTTAGATGTGTAGCTGCAAAGTTACCAAGAGCTTTTCGAAAAACTCCTTTTCCTCGCTGAGAAAAATCCATTTCACTAAATTTCACAAAATCGAATCATTAAATATCTTTCTTACATCTAGTTACGTTCCGACACTCATGATAGAAAAAAAACCCATAGTAACTGTCTTTTCTATTTCTTTTCTTTCAGTAACTGTTGCCAGGTGGAAGTGGAAAAACTTGTATTTTCTTCTCATCGGTCGAGGAACAAGTAAAAGAAACAAGCAAAAAAAGTATATAAACGTTGTGAAGGAAATTATAAAAGAAGAAAAACCTAATTGAAAGTATGAATTTTGAAATAATGAAATAGCTTTTATATTCTTTTGTGTAAGTAAGTTTTTCTTTCTCCATTCGAATATTCGAAAAAAACTAAAATATGACAAAAGCCGTTACCACTATCTGGTTAGATCAAACACAAATACGTGATAGACAATGTCATATTTCTTTTTGCACAATTGATCCATACCTAATTACATATCGAGACACACAAAAATGCATTGATTATATTACCGGTTTGAAACCAGATGAGGATCGTGTAATTATGATTATTTCCATCAATCAACTGTTATCTTCTACTGACACATTGATACAACAATATGTAAACTTGTCACAGATTGAATCAATATACATTTTATGTAACTCGACTGAGATTGACGTTGAAATATATGACAAACTAAGTAAAGTACGTGGAATATACACTGAACTATATTCATTATGTAAGGAGTTTACCTCATTACCTTATATAAAACGTCAGCGTCGAGAAGATTTTCAACGCATGGATTTTATCATTACTTCATTAGAGAAGCTATCTAACACCGCTACAACAACAACAACGACGCGACTGTCGCAATGCCAGCAATCCTTAAACGCATCGACCATAGATCGAAAACTGACTGAACTCGAATTTCTATATTCAAAAATTCTTCGAGACGTTCTATTGGAAGATGTGAACTCAACACGAAGTGAAATGGTTACCTTCTGTCGACAAATATATGCTGATAGTCCACCAGAATTGAATCATGTGGAAGAATTTGAAGAATATTATACATCTGAAAATGCAATATTTTGGTATACACGTGATATATTTCTCTATCGTCTATTAAACAGATCTCTCAGAGATCGAGACATCAAAACGCTCTACTCTCTAAGATATTATATTAAAGATCTTGATTTAAGACTGAAAGAACTTTGTAGTTCTCAATCGTTGTTTTCTTCAACGTCTTCCAGAGAATATACAATTTATCGAGGACAGTTAATGAACGATGCAGAATTTGACAAGAAAATACGAAATAACATTGATGGTTTCTTCTCTATAAATAGTTTTCTATCAACTACTCGAGATCGGTATTTGGCACTTTTATATTCTGGTAATAGTGACTCGAATAGAATATCGGAAGAACAATGTGTTTTATTTGAAATTCCTCTTGAGATTGGTATAGATGGATTTGCTTATGCGGATATTTCGAATGAAAGTACATTTGGTCCCTATGAAAAAGAAGTACTCTTTAGTATGGGCGTGATCTTTCGTATAGCCTCTATTATACGAGATAACAATGAACATGTTTGGATTGTTCAATTGAAATTAACTAATGAAGAAGATCAGCATTTACAAAAAATTAAACCAACAATAAAGAATGATATAACAAAACCATACAAACCTTTGATAAAATTAATAAGAGTAATGTGCAGAATGCAATATTTGAAAGAAGCAGAATATTTTTCACTATTAGCTCTACAAGACGAATCAATTACTTCTGATATTGATTTACTATCGATAACTTGTTATCAACTTGGAGTTATATATAAAAGCACTGGAAAGAGTGATGAAGCAATGAAATATTTCAAAACAACGTTAAGTCTGGAATATCCATGTAAAAAAAAATCAAAAAAATACAGATTAAAATCGATTATCCTAAACTAATCGCGAAAAATCGATTAAAAGGGACAATTTTCGATTAAATTAGATGCAATAATTGATTTTAATCGATTTTATACGGCAGAAATCAATTATAATCGATTTTCCCCCCAAGAAATCAGAATAATCGACTAAAAATCTAATCGATTTTAATCGATTTTTTCCGTAATCGATTAGAACCGATTTTACTATCAAAAATCGCAATAATCGATTAACAACCTAACCAATTTTAACCGATTTTTTCCTTAATCGATTAAAATCGATTTTCGCGTCAGAAATCGCAATAATCGATTGAAATTCTAATCAATTTTAGTCGATGTTGTTTGCTCGAAATCAATTAAAATCGATTTCTGTTAGGAAATCATAGAAATAAATTAAAAATCTAATCCATTTTCTCTTTAATTTATTATAATCGGGTTTTCGTCAGCAAAACTGAATGATAGATTCAAAATCATACCAGTCGAGACTAATATCATATTTCATCTCGCGTAACGGTATTTTTCATACAGAATACGAACTCCCTATGTAAAAAAATCAAAAACAACGAGATTAAAATCGATTTTTCAACAATTTTCGATTAAATTAGATCCACTAATCGATTTTAATCGACGTTGTTCGGTGCAAATTCATTAAAATCGATTTATTTCCAAGAAATCACAATAATGGATTAAAAATCTAATCGATTTTAGTCAATTTTTCTATTTTAATCTGAATCCATCGTAATTGATTGTCCCGAGAAATTAGAATAATCGATTAAAAAATCGAATGACTTCTAATCCATATAAACAAAGCAAAAAAAATTAGACTAAAATCGGTTAAATATGGGAGTTTTTGATTGAAATAGATGCAATAGTTGTCTTTGATCGATGTTGTTCGGTCAAAATCAATTAAAATCGATTTTCCTTCTAGAAATAGCAATAAACGAAAGATAATAAGAAATTAATTAAGAATTAGAAAATAATTGATTTTAATCGATTATTAACGTAATCGGTTAAAATCGATTTCACCCAAAGTAATCACAACACTTGATAAACTATCTAATCGATTTTAATCGATTTTTCTACTTTAATCGGTTTTAATCTATTACTGATGTAATTGCACCATCTCTATTTTGAAACAATTCATATAGGAGTTCCAACTTTAGTTTAGTTGCTTGATTTTAGTGTAGTGGTAAATCCATAGTTTGTTAAGAAGAGAAATCCAAAAAATCATGAGAAAATCAGGGTTTCCAGTTCGAATCTCATGAAAAACGCTTATCTTCATATATGCGATTAAAATCGGTTATCGAGCAAATAATCGATTAATGTCGATTAAAAGTTAATGATAGATGGAAATCAGTTAACAGGTAATAGCGGATTAAAATCGATTAGAACGTAAGATTAGATTAAAATCTATTAACAAGTAATAATTGATTATAATCGATCTTTTTGTGATTAAAAATTGATTAAAATGAGACGATTTTAATCAGATTTATAATCGGACCGTAATCTATTAAAATCAGTTTTTCCGAATAATCGATTATAATTGATTATTTTGCGATTATAAATTTGATTAAAATCTGATTAAAATCGTCTCATTTTAATCAATTTTTAATCACAAAAAAATCGATTAAAATCTGAGTTTTGTTATGTTTTTTTTTAAATGGGTACGAAAAAGATATTCTTTTTCTTACACAGATCCATCGTTATCAAATTTATACACCAATTTAGGAACTGTACATGAAGATATCGGCGAGTTGGATTCTGCATACACATATCATAACTTAGCATTAGAAGCGCTCTCAGATGCTGAGACAATAAATCAAGCTGATCTAGCAATAAAATATAGTAATATTGCTTCTATATGCCGTAAAAAAGAATATTATTTACAATCATTAGAAAATTATACAAATTGTTTGAAAATTGAATTAGAAATATTTTCTTACGATATAAAATTATTCATTACGAAAAATAATATAGGCGTTGTGTACATTCTTCTAGAGAATTACATTAAAGCAATCGAACATTTTCAAGGAACAATTGAAATTAGTAATAAATTATGTGAAAATCCAAATATTAATATATATTTAGCAATCAACTATTGGAATTTGGCTTGCGCCTTTTATCAACAAAGACAACTAGCGGATGCTCTTGAATACTTACAAGAATGCAAGAATATTGCGAGTCACGGCTTAAATATTGTACGTCATAGTCGAAATGCGGAGCTATGTAAAACCTGGATTCAACGTATTAAAGATGAGATGACAACAGACGTACATCAGATACCAAAAATATATGGACCTGATCCATGGTTAAAGAAACATGATTATGACATGAATCTTATGCTTGAATAATATTAACTTATTTTTATAACAACAAAAGATAAGAGTAAGGGTAAAGAAAAAATCGATCCATATTTTTAAACTAGTCGTTGTGAGTATCTTACGTGGAAGTAATTGTTGTTCATTGATCATCATCAAAGCTTTAATCGTGAGTATATGAATGCGAATGTGGATCATTAGAGTAAATGAGATGAATAGATCTGATATGAAATAAATCATTAATTAATCAATATCTTTTTGTGCTTTTATGATAATCTTAAGGAATCTGTTAAGTGTTGAACAGATATCGAAAATAGTATTTTGTAGTTTTTTGTAATGAATATATATATATAGGATGAATAAAACTCACTTTTCCTCGTGATAGCCGATTTGTACAAATGTGTGAGAAAAAAGTTTATATGATAATCAAAAATTCAAATACTCGCCTGAGAGTAGAGTCTCTTATCAGACTTTGTATACAAACTCTTCTATATACTTAGAAGTAACATTGTTGTATTCTATCTTAATGATGATTATTTCAAATTATAATTTCATTGAAAGTTTCTATGTCAGTTTCCCAATAGGCCAAACACTTGGTGCTAAAATATTATTGATTGTATTATTTTGTTCTGTTAATGTCCAAAAACGTGGTACTTGATCACTACTATCTCTGACTACTATCCTTGAACACTATTTTTGACGCGCTTTAATTTGGTATAAAATGCATTAGGTACTCAACTTGAAATCATAGCGCTACTCCTCTAGCAAAAGGTTATGCACAACCCTGTAGTCTCGGAGATTCTAAAAAGAGTGAAACCTTCACTTTTACTAGTAAATTTTTAACCTTGGTACACCCTTAGTGTTCACATTAGTTTCTAAAAGCATGTTATTGAGCGCCCACAAGATAAACTGTGCAAGTCTTATCCTCGGTTATATATCCTCAATAAATGCGCCGTGTTTCTTACCTAATTCAGTGAGAGTTCCGCAAATTTCGCACTTTTCAAAGCGAAACCAGTAAATTCCCTTTCCGTTTTAGTTTCTGAATTTCGAAGAGAAGGGCATCATTTTTCAATGCAGTGTTTTTTCGGTTCGTTGATGTTAGTCGTCTTCGAAGACTTTTTGAAAATAAGTATTGACTCTCCTGAAAATTTCTTAAACTAGCTTTTAATTGATAAAATGGATCAAAATAAAATAGTATTTACTTCGTGTGCCTCACTTAACCACTTAATATTAATGAATTAAGTGTTAAGTGCAAAAACTTAATTTTAATATTAAAATTAGGTGGAGTACTTAACACTTGGTGAATAGAAAAACTTAACACTTAATAATAAGTGTTAAGTGAAATCACTTAATTAAAGTTTTTAATTCAGTCTCGTTAAATAAAATGATCCACCGTTACTATCCTACTTACAAAATTGCGTATAGAGAAATTAGACCTATGTGTCAATCAAAATTTCATTAATTTAAACAGCATATATAAAAAATCAGATAAAAAACGAATGCGTGATTTTCTTCATTTGCACGCATCGCTGGATTTTTTTAAACAGAATTGCACATACATACATTAGACTATAGGATAATCTCCATGTATCCTACGTTGCTCAAACTTCGATAAACACATTTAAACTTCGCGTAATTTTGCCAAAGTGATCGAAGTTCAGCGTACTACGATATCATACTACGCCGAACTTCGATCAGTTGAGTGAGATTACACAAAGTTTTGACATAATTTTGGCGTTACGCGTAACTTTTCCTAAGTGCATAAAAATTATATCACATGAGTCAGAACTTGGTCAGTATCTATGAACTCAAAATGAAGCTGATGCACGATAAAGTAAATAACTATGAGTTAAGCATTACTCATTTGTATTGAACTCTATTAGCACATACAAAAATATCAATCACATTAAATATTAATCGGCATCAGTTTATTTATATTGAGTCCCATTGTGGAAAGCATATGAAATAAGTAGCACTCTTCCTATGGATACGCTGGCTCTTTTCTGAGAGAATTATTGTACTGAGTCTGTGATGAAGACATAATCATAATTTATTATTATTCATTTTGAAAAGATATACAAATATACCTTCCTTGTATTTCCAGTTGTAGCAAATATTGAGTGTGAAGGATTTAAATGCTTGTCGACGTGTGCAAAAACTATGGAAAGTAAACTTATCTGTGTTAATGTTGAAGTGAAAGATACGAATCACTAATCGTTTCGTCGTTTTCTTTCTGCAGCTACTGCAGTCCTAGCTATCGATAATATGCTTCACCGATTTCTTCTCTGTTTTTGTTCATTTAAAGATAAATTGGAAAGATATGTGTTCGTATCGATCACCATTGCTTTTTTTCTGACAATTCGTCAGCGATTTTGAATAGCAATCACTTAGGTGTGAAAACTTGGAAAAAACCAATAGATGGTGAGGTTGTATGATATAGAATAAGACGCCGATCCAAGACAACGTTGTTTTTGTCCTGACGCAGAATTTCATCAAGCGGTATTAATACTGTATCTATTTAAATAAGTAATTCTCAATGATGAGGTGGATAAGCACATTCGAATTTCTTGTTTTCGATTACATATTGGTCGCGGGATATTGCGTGCTTCACAGTATGGTATATGTCCACTTCTTGACTTTGAACAGCATCTCATAGTAAATGATTTATTCTGCTCAGTGAGTATGATTCGTTTCGTTAGTTAGAGAGTGGGTGAGAGTGAGTAAAAACAATAACTACCACTATCTAAGGGTGAGTTTTCAAGAACAGATTCAGAGCACCATACGACGGGTTTGAGCTTATCTCAGTCATCAGCAGGTATGTTCCGAATCTAAGCAAATGCTACGTAGTCATTCAAAGGACACCTAAGTCTAAAGGAGAGATAAATCATATGGAAGTCAATAGTATAACCTCCAACATGATGAGTCATTTCTAATGAAAAGGGATACGATTGAATGTAAAGTTGTACCTCTTTGAATGAGTGGTAAGTTTCCAAGAATAGATTCAAAGCACCATACAACGTATTTTCGCCATTGGCCAAGTGGTCTTCATCGGGTATTATTCAGCTTTTCTGGTACATTGTATGTATTAAAATGTAGCCAATGAAGCATTAGTTTAGGCAATGTGTGCTCTCAACTTCGACTCTTGTGTGTTAGGTAGAACTTCAGTACTGGTACTATTCTTGTTTTTAGACGTTATGGTGGCAAAGGAATTTTGATCTACTTTGTGACGATCGTATGGAGCTTTTTGTTTGATACTGTAATATCTGCTTTCTCCTGATAGATGGCTCTGTTTTATGAAGAAGGATGAGGGTGAGTACAACTACCATAATTATTATTAGTTTCACGTCGACAAAGACGATCATAAGATGGCTTAAGATCTTCAATTTATTCAAAAGAATTAAAAAGATCAAAATCAAATTCTGTTAGAAAGTTCAAAACAAAAATTTCAAACTAATCAATGAAAAAATCTAATAACTGTGGGTGAGTATCATGTATAAGAATTTCTACGACCTAGTTTTCGATCTTTCTCAAGGGTTAATCTTCAGGTAAGATTTAGCACTGCATAATTTCAAACAAGTAATGCAACGCAAACGTCCTGACCTTCTGCTGAAAGGATATCTTATTGAAAAGACGATTTTTATTGTCAAGAAGATAGATGGTCTTATTTTCATTCCTTTACCAAAAACTATTTCCAAGAAAACTCTTTGAGCATTAATAAGTCTTTATAACAAGCAAGAAATACAAAAGAGCCCTAAAGAAAACGTTTGATACATCGACTAATGACAATTTTTGTTTCCATGTGAATATAGAATCATTAGTTATTAGGCGTCCGTACAGTACATTTCCCTAATGCTCTCGAAAAAATTTTACCATTGTTTGTTTCAATTGGTATAGGACTATCGTACGTTCGGGCAAACATAATAGAATTCTAGCGTGTAAGTCTTCTTTTTCTTTTTCTGTATGTCACATATCCATATCCGAATGTAACATTAATGTCGTATATGCGAGATAAAGATAAAGACAAACAGGCTAGAGTTCTATTTTTGTATATAGTCAGTCTCTGGACTCTCCTCTTTCCAACGATATATTGTTGGTCTTTTAGCTTTTATGTTTTCATCATGAAACGACCGATCCGCGAGAAATACCTACAACTGACAGAATTAGGTGGTAGTTCCCAAATCTTGACAGCCAGCGAAAAAGTTTCCCTAATTATGACGCTTCTAATAAATTAAATAGAAAAACACAATTTTTAGGAAAAAAAGCTTTTTTTTTCATAGTTTTCATGAGGAATGAAGGCAAGGTGCCTGAGACATTTGTGTAGAGGGAATCAAACTCTATCATAATCAAGGGAAAAACAGCAGAGACTTCAGTCGTGAAGTCCCATGAAGTCTTGAAAGTCTTTTGAAGCCGTATGAAGTCTTATAAATTCTCATGAATTCTCATAAAGTCTCTTGAAGTCTCTAAAGTCTCATAAAATCTCCTGAAGTCTCAAAAAGTCTCATGAATTCTTCTGAAAGTTTTGAAATACATTTAGTGCATGAAAATTTATAAGAAACCAATGAAATTGTCTTATTTTCGACGGTCTTATTTTAGCAGAAAGGTGAACTTTTTATTGTTTTTTTTCTCGATATGCTGGAAAAAAATTCAAGTTTGTTGGATCTTAGAAAACATGATAATTAATAACTGAATACTTTTTGAAAGGAGTGGTTTATTTTTATAAGAAATGTTCCATCTATTCAATGTCAATCTTATGAACAATTTTATTCTTTTTTGTTTGTTTCTATCACTTCTGATAATCTATCAGCCGATAAACGGCTAGCTTTGTCGTCGATAACCAACAAGCCGTTTGCTTGTGTATAAATTTAGTCTTGTGATTTATTTGCACTTGAAAATAGGAGTTTTTCAATGCTGGATTAATCGAATCAAATATATGGATACCAGTTATGCTTATTTTCTTAGTTTTAATTTCACCAACGCTTTGTGTCATTGTCACATCTTTGTTCTAATTAGATATAGATATACTGCGAGAAACAATTCTCAGGATCAGGAAATACTTAGGGTTATCCAAAAGTAGTGACGGAGGCACCTTTTTTTGTTATAAAAAGCTAGAAAAAATTTTCTTTTTTACGAATAGATAGAGCTTCATTCACTCTATTTTTCTATGCTATTTGATCACTATTCGACTGTTCTCATAACAATAAAATTTCGATGAGATCTGTTTCTGTCGCATATACGCTGGTAACATGAATGCTCGTGCGTATTTTTCGAATAACTTTTAATAAAAACAAGAGAGAGAACTGTGATTTTCGCCATTGGAAAGGGGAGATAAGGACGCATCGAACTGCATACTACCGATTTTTCTAACATGATTTCTGACGTTTTTTTTATTCAATTTTCTAACCGTCGGCAAAATGCTTGTTTTATGAAAGAAAGGAAAAGCAAAAAATTTGATAGAAAATCGTAGTAGATGTTCGTCTAGAATAGGTATTATCCATAAATAATTAAATTTAAACATCTGAGTCTTTTGCAGTTTGTAGATCTTCGATTAGCGGTTTGAATGTGAACACAATTATTGAAAATTCACTGTAAACAACTCATGGAATATATTTGCTTTTTAAAAGGTAAGTTGAAACCTTACAAAAGGCAGGTGAGAAAAATCAGTAATACACAACTCGACGCGTCTTCGTCTTCTCTTTCCAACGGCGAAATTCGCAGTTCTCTATCTTGTTTTTATCAAAAGTTATTCCAAAAATATTTACAAGCATTGATGTTTATGTTACCAGCATATATGTGACAGAAACCGATCTTATCGAAGTTTTATTATTATTATAACAGCCGAATAGGAGTCAAATAGCATAGAAAAATAGAGTGAATGAAGCTTTATCTATTCATAAAAAAAGAAATATTTTTTCCAGCTTTTTATAACAAAAAACGGTGCCTACGCCACTACGTTTGGATAACCCTAAGTACTTTTGTAATCGCTATATGATAAGTTTTGTTTTTTGCATGTTATAGAAGTTTCATGTAACTTCTATAAGATTTTTTGATACACATGGAATCTACCTCGTGAAGTCTTGTGAAGTCTCAAGAAATCCTACAAATTCTCTGAAGTTTCACAAAATCAGTGAAGTCTCACAAAGCTTGTGAAGTCTTTGAAGTTCTCTGAAGTTTCACAAAATCAGTGAAGTCTCACAAAGCTTGTGAAGTCTTTGAAGTTCTCTGAAGTCCCCTGAAATCCCATGAAGTCTTATGAAGTCTTGAAAAGTTATTTGAAGTCCAATCAAGTCTTCAAAAGTCTTGTGAAAATATGAAGTCACTATGGCTGAAGTCCGTTGAAGTCTGTTGAAATGTTGAAGTCTGTTGAAATGTTGAAGTCTGCTGTTTCCCCCTTCACCATTATCTAAAGTTTCAATACAATTGCATTTTCATGTATTAAGATATGGGTCTTAAAATGAAGGCACCTACGGATCGTGAAAAAAACAATTGTTCCTAATTCTGACAGTAACTGTTGTTTTCTAATTCTCAGTTTTCAGTCATATTTAGTCGCTAATTCTGACGGTAAGTGTTCTTATCTCTAATTATGATTTTTCAACCAGTTTTAGTTTCCAACTATGATGGTAACTGTTGTTTTGGTTATAACTGTTGTTCTACATTATAACAGTCAGGCATTCATATGACGACACTTCATTGAGAAATACATGCGTTGCCTAATTGGATCTCGAATATCCATGGGGAGCCTAATACCTAGTGACAGTTCGAAAAAAGACGAGAACACATATTCTAGCGTCTCAGCAGAAACAGAAATAGAAATAGGAAAATTTTTTCGGAATTCTTAAACGCATGAAGTCCAAGGCTAACCTGTGCTCATTTGATGTTGCATATTATGGTCTCTGTCAGTTTTCCCGGAAACTAAAATAGAAATACTCACGGGAGAGAGAGGATATAGAAGATACTTAGTTAGACATATATGAAAGCTGTATCGTCAATAGCTCTATATCTATGTCATGATAGTTCCAGAAAAGGAGATCAAATATGTGTCTCTCAGCGAGGCACTGCAAATATTGACCAAAGGTGTCTCTCCAGGTGTTGGGTGATACAACCTTTTTCTCTTCGACTTGCTGTTTTTTTAACCTTCCTTCTGGAAATGGCATGTTGGGGCTTTTATGTAAATTTTATCAGCGATTATATACTTTCATCAAAAGGAGACAAAAGCCCTCAACACATTAGAAGACTCCGCCGCGTGAAAATTAATTTTTTTAATTACTTCTAATACTTTTTGAGTTTTTAGCATTTATGTACATGCAAGGGGGAAACATCTGACTTCAAGACTTCAAGGCTTCAAAAGACTTCAAATTTTTTAAAGACTTCTAAACGCTCCATGAGACCTCACAAAACTTCAAGAGACTTCATAAAACTTTATCAGACTTCAGAGACTTCAAGAGAGTATTTGTTACTCGTACCTGATTGTGAACTGAAGTGACAACGACCACATGGTGAATCCCTATACAGTACTCCACAAAAGTCTTCGGTCCCCGAGATCTTTGCATCCGTAAAGTTCCATGGGCTGAAATTTTGCAGGAACGTATTTCTTTGTGCATCCTGATTATCTGTATAAACTGAAGTCCGAACACATTTATATTACGCGAGATCCACATATGTGTTCTGTAAATTTCAGACAGTTAGATTGTTATGATGAAGAGTTAGCGGATTTATCCATTTTGTTCAGGACAAGGTCGTTAACCGTCATAATATGAAAGCAAATTACTCGAAAACTTTACCATGAAAAGGATATTATCTGTGCTTCATTTCTATCTAAGAATATTAAATTTTCCATACATGTCTATTTCGTAACAGCATAAAATTAGACTAGATCAGTTTTTCTTATCACCGGCAATAGCTATTTTTTTATGTACGTAGATCTCATATAATACAAATGAGTTTAAACTCCAGTTTGTACAGATAATCAGGGTGCACTGACGAGGGAATCTCCCGAAATCATACCTCCCGTTTGAGCTCATATTTGGCTCGCAATCAGGTGTCAGTGAGACTAGGAAAAGCCTAAAAGGGTTTCTCCCCAATAGCCTGTGGAGCCGAGTTATGGCGTTTTTACTGAAATTTTGAGGATTTTTTCGATATTAGGCAAAAAATCAAATAACGGAATTTAGACCTGAAATTTTGCCCATAGATAGGTCTCATCATCTTTAGAATATCCTGAAAATTTCAGCTGGAAATAATGTTCCTTTGTCGAGATATTGAATATTCAAGTAAACTGGCTTTTTGCCGCTTATCTGTGGTAAACGATGATTTTTTAACAATTCAATATCTCAACAAAAGAACATTATTTCCCGCTGAAATTTTCAGGATATTCTAAAGATGATGAGACCTATCTATGGGCAAAATTTCAGGTCTAAATTCCGTTATTTGATTTTTTGCCTAATATCGAAAAAATCCTCAAAATTTCAGTAAAAAGGCTATAACTCGGCTCCACAGGCTGTTGGGGAGAAACCATTTTAGGCTTTTCCTAGTCTCACTGACACCTGCTTGTGGGCCAAATATGAGCTCAAACGGAGGTATCATCTCAAGAGGTACAGTCCCGTCGCAGCTTTTGGGTTTTTATATTTAGGCGAACAAGAAACGGAATAGTGTATGTTACCTGTAATGACGATGGCGATGCGTATTCGTATGTGCATTACTGATCGCTCTCGTACACAAGTAGCCAAAATACTTTTCCCATGCAAACGTGCGTGTTCTAATTTTCGACCAGCTATAAACAGAGTCCTTAGAAGTTTAGTATGTAGTTAGTAAAGATGCATTTTGCTATCGATCATCACTCTTCGCGATACTCCAACAGACGTAACATACTAGTTCTCTATAAAAGCTTTCTCCCAAAGCCTTGATGGAAAACTAGTCCCTACCCCGACTTCGTGGTTTTGTAATCGCTGGGTTTACTTGGTGACTCGCTGGCTTGTCTTGGTGTGGGTCTCTTCTTTCAAACACTTCGTTGGGGTTAACTTCTACCCACAAGTACACAGTATGCATCCAGCTATAAACAAAGCCCTTAGAAGTTTGGTAAGGTGCCCGCAATTCAAAAATGCAGCACTATCTTAGCTTTCGGTCTAAAGCTACATATTCAGATACTCCTGACTCCGAATATGTCCAGTTAGATTTATAAAAAGGAGAGAGAGATCTACTAAGAGTTTTTTTCTTTTACATTGACTAACATTACATTGTACTAACAATAACATGGTACATCTGTGAAACACTGAAAATTGTACGGAGTTCAGTTTACAACTGCTTCACGTCAACTACAACACCAAGCGGGATTTTAACAAATCAAATATGTGACTTATACAATAATTGCTCAATATAATTCAACTGTGTCTCAAGAAATGTCTTTTACACAAATAAGTAACTGACAAGACAATCCAAGAGATGAGCGAAGAGTGATAATCGATAGCAAAATGCATCTTTTACTAACTACATAAGGTGCCCGCAATTCAAAAATGCAGCACTATCTTAGTTTTCTGTCTAAAGCTACATATTCAGATACTCCTGACTCCGCTGATTCCGAATATCATCTTTTTATTCGAATTCGATCAAGTTTTTGTATAGAAATTCTCAAAATACTAAGAGCACCGAGAAAACAAAAAAATTGCATTACTCAGAGAAACCTTGAAATTTTGCCCCCTTCCGTTCACTGTAATTTTTTGCTTCTGTTCCAGAGTCAAAAGTGGCGAAAGATAGTGTAGGCGACAGGAACGTTTAAGACTTCCAGTTCTTTTTGTCCAATTGCCAATCCCATTTAGTAATTTGCCTCGAAACAAGGTGCTATACGTTCAAACCTTTTTAACTTTATCTGACGAGATTACAATTAAAAATGATACGGAGACTGAGTCTAGGCTTGTTCGGCTACATACTGTCTGTGTCGGTATCCACTAGTAATCACTGCAAGAGTAATCACTGATTCATGGAAGAGATTTATATAGTGTACATTTGTGAAATTAATTCTCTTAAGCAATTTGTTGGAGCTGATCTGTTTTCGTGGGAAAACGATGCTTAGAGTGGTACAAGCGTAATCTATGTAATTTTGAGGAAAAAATATTTTATTGTTAACTTAATCCCGCGGAGAAATAAAAGTACTTTTGAAACAAACTTATTTTCCTAACATATATTCTCAGTAACCAATGTCGACTGTAAGATTATTATCATAAAAGTTCAAAATCCAATTAACTGGTATACGCTGTTGTGTATAAGTAGTTTATTAAGTTACTGAAGATGATCTCTTTTGCCCAAAACATAGCCTATATTTATATTTAAGTTAACACGAAAAGTGGAATATTCTAGAGCTGATAAAATACACTGGGAAACTGGGGGTTCATGTAAGAGAGCACAGAAACTAAAGAAACTAGAACTAACACTGGGGAAATAGAAAGAAAGAGAACGAAAAAGATACATATAGTGGACAATAAGAAATAACACTGGGGAAGTTCCTGACAGCAAGAAAGAGAACGAATATATATATATGTATGATACCTATCACACAATTCTCTGTTATGGCACGTCTTTAATATGTGCCATAACACAGACGGAAAGCTGGATACAGTATTATTAGCTATTACGGGTAAACTGGACATAAATTTGATTCTTAAAGTAGAAGCAAGTGGTTCATATTCCTATTCAAACAGTTACACACCCTAATCACTTATTAGGCTCTTATTCGGATAATGACAACACGGCACCATCATCATTGTCGACCACAACACCGGCAACGCTAATCCGAAGGCGACGAGGTTTATTGTCCAGTATTGCAAGTTCCCTTAAGAAAGTTGTCGCCGTGGCCGTAGCTGTTGTGAAAGCAGTTATGAAAGAAGTGGTAGAAGAAGGATTAAAAGCATTTGGCCTCTACAACGCACTCATAAAAAAAGAAAGCACCTTTGGAAGTAAGTTAATATCAGAGTGAGTTCATTTAGTTATTTGCATGCTCAGACACGATTTATTGTGAGATGCTTAACCGTTAAATCGTGTTTCAGCAAAACTGCGGAAGTTTATCTTCCTTTCTTCGCCTGATAATAGATCTTGTATTGTGAGCAGGGATATGCTTAAAAAGTTTGATAATTTTCACACAGTAATAAATCATCTCATAGAACTCAACACAATCTTGTTCTTTTGAAGAAGGACTGCAATATGGTGTAACTGACTTGAAGCTGTTTTCGGTAATCAGTAATAAGTATACAGTTACCACCTCGTTAACAATGTATTGTGCAACATGCAATATTTCTTTTGTCCCTGGTTTCGCATTTGAATTAAAAATAACAGACGGAAAGCTGGATACAGTATTATTAGCTATTACGGGTAAACTGGACATAAATTTGATTCTTAAAGCAGAAGCAAGTGGTTCATATTCCTATTCAAACAGTTACACACCCAAAGGTCTCTCACAAACGCTGGGAATTCTCTCATTTGTAATTGTAATTATTCCAGTTAATATACAACTTGGTGCATCTTTATCAATCACGTTTGGTTTGAGTTTTAACACAGCTGCTTCTATAACAACCGGTCTTAGTTATTCAAAATCAGCTAAACTTGGTGTCCAATATGCAAATGGTAAAATAGGTAGTTACAGTCAATTTGATCCTGCTACACACGAATTTCACAAACCAACTGTGTCAGTGGAGTTGACAAGTTCACTACAACTTGGTTTTGCTGTAGCTGTTACACTAACATTGGAATTTGTTGCAAGTGGTTCGCTGAATTTAAATCCGTATTTATCGTATGATATTACAGTTGGACAAAATTCAGAAGACAAACAACGTTATGATGCTACTGGAGTTCTATCAATTCATTTTGATATAACTGCGGAAGCAACATTAGGAATTGTCATAAAAGGAGTTAGCATTGGTCCGAAACTTACCTCACGCTCACTTACATTGTATGAATTCGAAAAGGACCTTCTCTCAAGTGTAATCTGTAAGTATATAAGTTGTAACAAAAAAGTGCTAAATGGTCATGCTTAAACACCACAAGTTGAAACGCATCAACATCGCTTACGCGTAGCGGCGGCTCCAGGAATTTAGACTAGGGTGGGCTCAGGCCTCACTGAATTTTGTAATGTAGTCCAGAAAAAAATTTTCTGGGCCGGCTCAAAATGTTTTAGGGTGGGCTGAGCCCACCCTTGGCCCCGCCACTACTTACGCGCCACCACGAGCTCTGTCTTCAATCATTCGAAACCATCTCAAAAGATTCCTTACTAGTAGAGATAGATTCTTCGAACGGTGTCACTTGTAACTATATAAAAGAAACGAGAAAACTCTGTAGAAAAGTTACTGACTTAGTTATCTCCATTCATTCTTCAGCGTAAAGAAACCCGTTTTCAACGACATGCAAAAGAAGACTGTGTAGCAGATTATTCGAAGGTTTCGTCGGATGTCGAAATTTCTTTCTAGGGAAAAATAGTTGCGAAGTTTGGTCTAATCTTGATTATTTAAGTTAGTCGATAATATATAATAGATCTCATTTAATAAAACCAAAAAAAAGTCAATAGAAGAAAAAGTGAAAGCAACAACTTTGCTCAGAATTTTAGAAGAATCATTAGGTTGCTCAACGTTATCAAAAACCTGTTTCAATGCTGACTACACCAAAGTCATGTGCTTAACGGTTTCCGACTGTACTTTTCTAAATATTGGACTTTGAAATTGGACTTTTCTCAATAAAAAGTCTTTTGACGACATTTCTGAGACTAAAATTTTTCCATAAATAGATTTTCTAGAGGAATCTTCATAGAGAGATTGCTCGAAATAGCTGTAGAACACCAGAGACGCTAAATAAAAGCATAGATTCTATAGAGTATGTCAGTTACATCCAGTTTATTGAGCTACAGGCACGAAAATTTTTTTGAATGAAAAGAAGGATAACATTACCATTTCGTTTGTATTTTATAAAATTTTATAAAATATAATTGAATGACTCAAAATGAACGCACAATTAAATGATCTTTCTCTTTGTTGAATAGTTTCGCGTTATATCGGCAGTGATTCAGTAAGTCCGCAAATATTATCAACATTAGTTCCTGTGAAAGGCTCAAGTGCAAATTCTGGAGGTATGTATTTTTGCAGTAACGTAAACGCTCAGGAAACCATCGGAACTGATGTGGAGAATGTTTGGTTCTAGGATTTATTCTCTTTTCAATGCATGCTTTCGACGCTTTCTCCAATTATGGCGTAAATCTGAATACATGTCAGTTACCAAATTCTGAGTCTTTCTTGGAAAGGAAGTAGTCCTCAGTTCCCATAGTTCACTGCTATGAATGATCAACAAAATGATATATTTCTTTTTCTCAAGCAACATTCGGCTCATTTTTGAGTCAATTTTTATTAAGAGAATCTTCCTCCAGCCTCGATACTTAAAGTCGAATCCAGTGGTCGCAGCTAGAAATCAAAATCTAGGTGATTCGAAATTGTTAGAAATTTAGATTTCTACTAAAGGAAGATGTTAAATTCCACTAAGCTTCATCTTAACTCGGATCGAAGTACAGTGTGCCTTTCCACATGGATATGTGGCGTTGGATGACCTCTTCTTTCCTTAGCAGGCTTTCTTTCCTGTGACTTCTGACCATGGCTAAAATTTCCGTTAATGTATTGTTTACAGCAAAGTTCACCAGCCCCGCCAGTGTGAGAACGAGAAGAACTTGAATTACTGTTGTTTGTATATTCAGAGTATGGAGTCAATTTATTGGTGGCTTCGGATGCTGAAAGCGGAAGCTGATCACCTACCATGAGCTGGAGCTATTTTCGTTACACACCTCATTGGCGTAATGCTTCCACTTGCTCAGTAATTACTAACCGAAAATATCTGCTCTGTCCTGAATCACACATTTCTGTCTTGATCGGCGGTCTGCGACTTTCTTTACCACTCGCTATCTCTCTCATTTTGAAGACCAACGATAATATTAGATCGACAACACCAAAACTAATTTCTTATCAGATTTCGGAAGAAAAACGCCGTATCTACGATTAAATAATCGGAGCTACTTTTTATACAAATGCTTGTCCACCAATATTTCACCTTGATCCTTTCATGCCGGACATTATTCCTATGGATACCCCAATAGAATTTACCTTTTCCTTCGTTTCTGAAACCTTTCGCCTGCGCACAACACACACAACGTGCTCACTACTCTCGTGCAGGACACAGATAGTTGTCTATCTGTCTGTCCGGCTGCGGACATACATACATACAGGCATTTTAATTCGATAAAATCCTTTCCTTTACAGTCAAGGCAATATCATTATCACCCAATCAAGCTGAGTTCGCATTTTCGACCAATAGAATCGATTATGAAGCTCCTACATAGTCATTTTCTGATTCCCCATAGTCGACTTATTCCATAAGGTAATGCTCGTCTGCACTTTAGGTCCATTGACTTTAGGAACTTATATCTACGGGACGACCTTCCAAGACTTTGAATCTAAAAGAACGCTATCAGAAGAATAGGTTTAGTTTAGAATACTATAATGGAATATTTTTTCCCTTGTATTCTGAGAATAAAGCTTATACCAAAGTTTTGCATCCGCATACATGGGCGCGGACGGACGTTCTGTTCATGGACGAAAACATTTTTCCGTAATAAAATACGACCAAATTATCTGATTTTTGTCTTAGAAGCCAACTTTATTCTCTATTTTCCACAAGCATAAATTTTTACCTCCACCGCGAGCAGTCTCGTTTTTAATGACAACGTACTTGTCTTTTTCCGTTTTCAACAGACGTTCGATCCTCTCTTTCCCGTACTGTACTTGAGATGATGTAACAAAATTAGAGGAAGAAGCCAAGCCCGAAGGACTATCCTTAAACATTTTCAACTCAAAGGCAGTGGATAGTACAGCGAAAAGAAAAAGTGAAGCAACACGCCCATTGATCTTCAGAAAGAAGACGAAACACGATCGACTTTTCTTTTTTCTTTCAACGATTGAACACGATTTTCAATCAATCAGAATTAAAAAAAACTTCTGCATTTTCCAGTGTAAGCAAGATCCGCTACTAGCGAACCTCCCTCTACCAAGACAATAAATAAATAAAATTCCATTTAAGTCCACGGGCCGATGAAAAAGTCCTTGGGCGCCTTGGGCGCCCTTGGACGAGCTCTCAAGTATTTTGAAAAAAGTAAAAACATGTTACGAGTTGAAAACTGTGTTATGTTCTAATATAGTATAGGGGAGGCTGGAGAGGCTGTTTTGAACTCGTGAGTATGCATTTAGAAATACTCATATCTATGTTAACTAGTGTTATATCAGCAATTACATCGTTAGCAAAAAGTCGTTAGAAAAAAGGAAAATCTTTTAATAGCAATTTATTTTAATTTGTAAGAAACTACATAATGACTAAGATGCACATGTGACATTCTTCTTTTTAGAAAAATGCAATTAGTAATTTCGGCGTTTTTGGCATTTTGCATTCTGAAATGCAAAAAAAACTGATTTGCATTCCAAAATCCAAAAAGAGATGAATTTGCATCTCGAAAAGTGGTATTTGGCATTTTTGAAAATAAAAGCTGCATTTTTTTGCATTTAGAAATTTAGATATTTACAGTTAAGGTATCAGCTAAAGCTACTGACATCACCAGGCTTAGACGTGGACAACACAACAATGGAATATATTAATAAACGTAGAGAATGTACAAATGCAATGTTCATATACATAACATCGTCAAATGTAGCAGAAAAAACATTGTAAGTCGCTGTTTCTGTTGATTGAATTTTTCTTACGACAAGAGTTAATATGTAATTAGCTGAGCAGTGAGTTTTAATATCATTTAAAGTACTATTATCGAACAATTCTCGTCCATAATAATGTAGTTCATAGGCAGCTGGATCCATTTCAGTTAATTGTAGATAATGTAACGCTTTCTCTTTTAAATGAGACATTTGTGTATCGAGAGATAAGTTTGGAATATTCAGTATTCTACTACAAACTGTTGTATCAACGGAAATAAAATAAACCAATGCGTTGGAGATTAGTGGCTTTTTAAAATAGAAAAATGGTTGAAAACCTTCATCTAACAACATATTAATTCCTTTTACAGAAGGAAGTACTTGTTGTTGATGTGCAGATATACCTTGCACGCGGTTATAACGTGTTGATCTGTTTGTGTTTGCAATAGTCACATCATTTTGAACGTCGTCACTAAGAAAAAGATAAATTGTGCCTTGAGATATTTCGATGAGTTTCATTTCTAAACTTATAATTCTTCCATTTATCATTGTTGCTGGATGTAGTTTGATACGGTGCTTATTTTCGATGTAAACGACTAACCTTTTTACGGGTATTGCTAAAAGACGCGAACACCCACGAACACCCGCAAATTAAAATCTAAGTTAGTCAATCGATAGAGCTCATCGAGCTGAGTATAGCAACGCCTAACAAACACCCAAAAAAGTTTTTATAGTTTCGCTTTTTAAGCACACATTTTGAATGAACACCTACGAACATTTTAATATACCGCTTTTACCTCTTTTAACCCTTGTACTCACAAGCCTATTTTCGACACAACAAATAAAATGCGATATCATTTCTTCACAAAAATATAGAAGATTGATGTTTTCTTACTTGAAATCATTATTTAACACAACTGCACAGCTTCTCAATACGTATAAGCCTACTCCTGCTGATATGCAGGCATTAGGTCCTAACGGCTGACTAACATTTTGTGACCCTAATCAATACATTCAGCATGATTCGACGCCCCATTCTACAGTAAGAAAGTGGTTAGTTTTTGGTTAGTCTCAGTCTCGATGGCTGCCTTAGTTATCCGCATTTGGCCTTGGTTCCAGGTACTCTCAGATATTGGTCTCAGACAGATGGAAATAATTACCCTATGATCCTAGGATAGAAATACATTCTATGTATCTTTATTGAAGAAAGTACGGCAATACAAAGCACCGATGTTGTTCAATATCAATTATTGTGAGTAAGGGTCTACCAAGCCCAAGATCAAACTGAGACTTCCGGTCTCGAGCACGACCTCAGTCGGTTTCCTGGTAAGCTCAGCTCTGGTCATGATTAAAATCGGTTCCTGAGGCAATCTCTTGCAATCATCTTCAAGCTAGGACTCGGTAATAGTCGTCTTTGATTAGTCTCAGTCTCGATGACTGCCTTAGTTATCTGCATCTGGCCTCGATTCCAGCTACTCTCAGACGATATTGGTCTCAGACAGATGGAAATAATTACCCTATGATCCTAGAATAGACTAGAGTTGAAAGATGACTTGTGCCATTAATGAATCATTCCAGTCATATAAAAGAGTCATAAAAAGCCTTGACCGATGAACATGATATCATGTAAGAATGACATCGTGTAAGAGTAATATCACATAAGAGTAATATTATGTGAGAGTCTCAAATGTATATAATACATTGCAGTAATCGTATACTTTCTCTCGATATTTAGTTTTTAATTAGATGCTGACAAGGGACATTTTCAAACTACGAACTCGCTTTTTCAGCCAAACCCAGTGGTTATAGGTATTCGATCACGCTGATTCCGAATATGAACACGAGGGCTACCATTAGGCCTTCAACGATCCGATTTTCTGGAAAACCGGTTTTTCTGAAACTACTGCTGTTTCCGGCACCCGAACGGTCCTTTTGGATGTCTGTGAAGACTAGGTCATTCAGTAAACACATGGTGACTAGCTAAGTTTGTAGAGAGTTTCAAGGGTTGTCTAACAGTATATAGAGAAGAGTGTAATGTTTTGTTTTTGCACAAAATACGGAGTAGAAGAGTGGGTTCGTACGATTTTCGGCAGTTCCTTTGGATGTCTTGAGGTCGGTCATAGCCGTTTTCTGATTGGTCGCAGTTGAATACCTAACCTACATCATTTTCATCTAAAAAGGTTGAGTTGAAGTTTTCGACCAATGGAATCGATCCTAGCGGTCGCTCATGGTCACACGTCTGTGTGTATCGATGTCTGTCAGATTAAGCTTTTCTGTGTTAAGCAGTGTCAACTGTCACTGGGTCATCTATTGGATATAAGTGGTGAACCAGTTAGGTGGTACGAATGATTCATCGTTTATGCTTATTTTATAGAAGAGAATGATTGATCATTTATCGTTATTTTATAGCGGTACAGCACACTACCGTACTCACTAGCAGGTTCAGTAGGGTCAAGTAGCTTTCTTGTCTTCATATGATAGTAGGGGTGGTACTTTAGTAGTTACTCGGCGTACCAGGTAAAGTAACGAAGTTGGTTACTTGGTTAGTACGAGTAACTGATTTCGTTACTTCGTTACTTCTCCAGAGTGTAACGAGGTAACGATCGTTACTTCGTTACTTTCAGGAGGAGTAACGAAGAAACGAAATCGTTGCTTCGAAAGTAATAGAAGTGCGTCGTATTAGGTGGTGCTTCGAATAGTGTCACCCGTATGTGATATAGCGGCCAGGAATCATTTCGTTTGATTGATCATTTATCTTTATTTTATAGAAGTTCATAGAAATGGATAGATTGATTTATTAACAGCTACAAGAGCCGACGTAATACGGCCTCGCACCTCCGGCCAGAGTACCTAACTGGTGGCGGTGGCAACATGATGAGCCCACGGGTCCACATTAGGGGCGATTCTGTCGTATGGCATGTTGGCTTGCTCATTTCATAATGATCAGGCGACCGCCGTTACCAGGAACGATCTCTGGTCGCGCGCGCGCGAATATCTATACATTTATTATAGGTTACGTTTTATTACAAACGTGATGAACAGTTCAAAACGAGAAGTTCTCAACCACAAAGAACATCAGCTCGCTTCGATTGTGAATCGTTGAACTCGATGATTCCCCAAATCGGCAACATAGAAATTGCCATGTCGATCGAATGACAAACCCACGGGACTGTTCAACTGGTTTGCTTGTTGTCCTCGACCGTTTCCACCAACAATGACATTTCCCTCTATCCCTCCGCTGCACCAACCCATCACTCGATGATACCCCCAGTTTGCCAAAAAGGCTGTGCCCAACGGATAGACGAACACTCCTTGAGGATTCGACAATTGAGTCAGAGCATTCCCATAACCTCGATCACCAACCAAGACAGTCCCTTCTTTCGAACCCCTGACCCGCTTCATCACACGATGATTGTCGTTGTCCAACACGTAGACAGAATGATCTTGATCGACAAAGACGTCGATACGACAATTGAGTTGATTGAGACGATTACCTTTTGCCACCCGCCACCACTGTTCCATTCGTCTCACTCCATATCATCTCACTTCATGCTTTTGATAGTCGCAGACGTAGAGAAATCTCTCATGGTCCATCGTCAATCCGAAACAATTGATATTCTCGATGATAGTTTCTCCACTTGTTCGACTTCGACGAGACCATCGTATCACTCTTCGGTTCCCTTTATTGCAGATGATGAGACTGTCTGTCACATTGTCGACAATCATAGCTGTTGGATAATTCAACTGATCAGTTCGATTTTCTTGTCTACTGTCACCAGCCACCACTTGACCACTAGTGGCATCAGGCTTCCATTCCATAATACGGTGATTCGAATAGTCAGCGATCAAGACAGTTTGAACATCATCCACATAGAGACCTCGAGGGTGGTAGAGTTGGTTGGATGCATTGCCTTGTCCGTGACCTCCAACAATGGCGACACCGTTCTATGTCCATCTGGCATTGGGAGGAACGTTTGGGAGAGCTACAATTGTGCAGGAAAGGAAGATGAGCGTTGTTGATCATTCGGAGATCTCTATCAAAGAGAAAAAAAGTATTCGCAAACATCGCCGTCAACTATTTCGTCTCCAGAAGATCCTCATTCTAGAACCAGAAAATCCATATCGAATGAAAAAGTGATCTTTTTCTGCGAATACTTAATTGATCCAACGAACTTCTATTCGTCAGACTCTTCTGAATATTCCTATCTAAAATTTCCTCTTTTCTAGTACTGACTGTTAGTCGTATTAAATGTGATCATGTAATGTGACAAACCATCTGAGAAGAGAAAAACACTTTACTGGTTGTAATAGAAGAAAAGGGATTCAACTGCTTTAACCGGGACCCTAATGGAGACAACCGAAAATTTCGACCTGAATGGCAGCAAGAAGGAGCACTTCATCTTCTGTCGGAAAATACGAATGTCAGTACAAGCTTTCATATGTGCCCTATCGATGTTTTGGGTACATTGAAACATCGCCGGATAAGTGGCGAAATCATGACGTCGCTCTTAGAAAAACAAGATGACTTTATTCTATCTATAATTGATCACTGATCATTGTAGGAAGTTCTGCTAGTTGAACCTAGGAACATTTATTGAATCATTGTAATGATCAAATCTCTCAAAGCCAAGGTTGAGCACGCTCTCAACCCTCAATCTCATTGATCGTCGAAAGGAACAAAACATATACTTCCTCCTTCGTTTTCCAAACCCTTCTTCGCACAAAAGTCAAAGTCGTTGAAGTCGCGTTTCAAAAATGTAGGACAGTGTTTTGTTTTGTTGAATATAAATTTAAAATTCGAAACAATTTATTCGTCGTATATGGAAAAAGAATATCTTCAGCAACTCAAGAGAGTTTTTCTCTAAAATAAGTGAAAGTTGTTTATGAGACCGAGAAACTAGGAAAAGGTTTCAGTCCCAAGGATAAAATACTAAACACATTAGAATCAGGATTAGAGCTGGCTGTCCGATCTGCAGAAAGTTTTATATTGGGAAAATGTATAGACAGTTCTGCACATGAACCGATGAATATTTAGCTGATCAACAAAAAGTAATTAATAGTTCTCAACCACAACAGTACCACTATCTCACACCATAGCTAATCCCTAACACAGAATATCTCTGTATCAATTGATGCTTACTTTTAAAATTATACTAAATTGAATATGTTAGCTGCCGTCAATCGACATTTGACAATTTGATAACTCCGATAATTGAGCGATCCGACTTTAGACACTTTTCAATATGACTTTTTTCCGATCAGGAAAAGTGTTTGTGCAGATTGTTCACTCTGATAACGATGATGATAACAATTTCTTTGTCGTCTGACTATGAACTGATTATGAACTTTGGCGATTTAGTACGGTTTTTTAGTACATGGTTTTTAGTAGTCTTCCAACTCACTTCCACTTAATCTGATCAGCCAGAAAATCTGATAAAAACTATATAAATCAACTCACATGCTCGAATCCAGCATAGCTCATCAACTCTTTCAAACATTTAAGAAAACTCAAAATATCAGAAAACTCATGTAAATAAGGAATGTGAAAGTAACATAAAAGGAGTGACGGAGAACATCAGAAGATCAGAAAGTCTAAGGATAGGAAAGCCACAAAATTACATAACTCAGTATATATCGCTTGACTCTTGGAATAGTGCTCGACATGTGGTATTTTATTTCCATCATGTTCATTTTCTATTGTAGCTCTTTGTCTTGAATGGGAAGAGGTATGTGGACTCTTAAGATTCATTCACTGACCGCTGAATTTGTAAAAGAAAATAGTCCTTTATGAATAGAAATGAGAGAGAGGGTGGAAAGAACTGTAAAACACAGGAAAATTATTCAGCTCAATCATTTTGTAAGTGTTCAATCAAAAGTTCAAGCCGGTTTCTACTACCATAAGTATGTATGCTGTTGCCACTCAGATAGAGCGTTGTTAATGTATGGTTGACTCACAAGGCTTCTGCAGCTGGTTCTCTACCTTCACGTGGTATGTTGTTGCGGCGAAGATTGCAGATGTTGTTCCAGGTTTAGATGAAGTATGGTACGCAAGAGGCGTAATTATGTTCTTTAATATCTGTTGATGAAAAGTGGTTGGTTTACGTAACAATTGAATATGCAACCTTTTTATCCTACTTTTGAGGCATTCAAGGGCGTTTGTGCTTCAATTTTTTATGTGGTGTGGACAATGGGTGCATCCTAAAAATGCGTTTGGCTGAAGTCCTATCCTTTCGTACGGGTGGTTTAATCAGTAATTAGTGAATTCATATAGAACTGAATTGAGCAGTATTTTGAGTTCACACAGTGTTTGATATCATCATAACCAACGGTATAGCTGGTGACGATTCGTAAAAGACTCTGTGATGTCACGTAGGAATCGACGGGAAAGAGACGAAAAAAGAATATTTTTCTCAGTCCCCACTCCCCTCAGAAATTATCTCCGACACCGTACATCCAATCTCGACGAAACTTTCCATAAATGTTAGGCACAATGAGTTACGGGAATTAAAAAATTATTTTTGTCTCCAAGTCGTACGGTTTAGAAGTTTTCCAGAGATCAATGCCCAAAAAGTACTCTGAAGTGTGCCCCAAGATCTTTTAATATACTTCAAGCTGGAGAGTTCGAGTTTGTTCTATTCTAAACTAGACACCTAACTACATGGACTGACCGGCGCTGATTTTCCAGTTAAGCCTTTATTGGTTTCCCAGGCAACCAACAACCTCCAAAACCCGAAAAATTCTTTCGAGTTTTCTAAAAATCCACAGTTTAACAGAAAACTAAGATCTAATTCAAACATCAACGACGGTCAGTCGATGTAGTTTCTTTTTCTCTTTAACAAACAAAGGATAAACTTTCTACGACAAACCGCTATTAAAAATTTTGGGACGCACTTCAGGTATAACTTCCATGTAGAGAAAACACCGTATAAAATGCTCAGTTTTAGGACTTCTAGGAAAACGCCTGTAATTTTTTAATACAAGATCATACAGAGTCTTGCAAGGTCTTATTTTGATCAGAAACGTTTGCTCTACAAATCTGAGTGTTCAGAAAAGTACTATTATTAAAGTATTACTGCATAAGTATCCAGGAAAAACTATTATTTGAAGACTCGGTTTTCCAAGGCTACTAGAAAACTTGCTCAGAATCCCCGAAAACTCAATTCTGTAACCAAAAGCGATATAGATTCTAAAAGTAGACACATCAGGCTGTCTTTTCATGTGCTTATCTCAAAACCGATTTTTTGACAGAAAATCACAATTTCCGAGGGGGCGGACATATTGAAAAGAATACACGATGCCATAACTGACAACAAGCAATTTGGTTAAGATATACTCGAACGAACACCAGCAAAACTCAAAATGTTCACGGTCACAGTGCGGAGATCAATAAAATGTTCCACCTGATACTCCTTGAATCTCTTTCTTATATGCTCCCGCAATGCCTTCCATAATGCTTAGAAATTTTGCATCTAATATCAGTTATGATGGTCATTGCCAGAGTCGAATAAATCACGTGTGACTTCCTTTATATCATTTGGTACAAGAAAAGGTGCATCGTTTTCAAAATAGATCGGGCGTTCACAGTTAATTCTTTTTCACATGCGATACAAGACCGTCATTATCTGGTGTGACCAACACTTGCTTGTTGCTTCCACTGAGTTCTAGAAATTTCGTTAGCGCTTCTCTCTTTTCTCGTTTCTGCGTACGATGTATCCGCTCTTTCTCTTCGTCATGCACGTGTGCAGAGGCTTCTTCGGGCACAAATTCGTCCTCGTTATTACCGCTTCCAGATGATTCGTTGATGTACGGTATTGCACCTTTCCATCGCTTGTAATCAGGACCATCGATTTCCTATGAAAAATGTGTTTTCGTTTATTAGAAATAAATTTTTTGGATAAAATTGTCGTAGTGGAAGCGATGGTATAGCTGATTGTAGCGAATTTTTCGGCATGAGGCCCAGGTCTTTGGACAAAGCTTCACGGTTCATTTTGTAGAGAATTGATAGCTGCACAAAATGTCATCAAGTCTAAACTGCGACCACCCAACGGTCGAGAGCTAATCACGTTTTAGGCAAAGAATTTCACTTTTCAAAATTATAGTCTGTTAGAGAGAATAAAGTCTTTAAACTTTCAAAACATACATCATTAAACTCACTCATCATATAATCTATTACCTCAGACAAAGCAAGTATACTATTATTTCATGGAAAACACTTTAAAGCTGAACACTGCGTAGGACTTAAATGCATATCGATTTTAGAGGACGAAATATCACTAGAAAAAAGATTTTCCTAATATTCCAAAGTTGGCAGATATTTCTGTTTCACATATCCGAAACAAATCTATAAATTAAAATACGTTAAAACGTGCGCTTGTGACTAGCTTTTTGACTGACATTTTTAGATATGCTCTAATACATCTTTTTCTTTTTTGAGTAGCAGATCTTCTACAAAGATGGAATACTTACTTTGCACCTTGGCTTTGTTTATACTATACGGTTACAATACTGAGTATTGTAACCGT